GGGGCGGGGGCGCACCCTGGGCTGGTGGCCCGGGACGTCCAGGGGCCTGACAGGCGTCTCCCAGGAGCCGTGTCCGGTCCAGCTGCCCCGGCTCCGGTGTGGGTCCCGGCCGGTGCCACAGGACCAGCTGCCAGGGCACCAGTGCGCGCTCCCCCGCGTCTCGCCCCGCTGAGCCCTGTGCGTAGCTGGGTGGGCGCCGCCCCCTGCCCAGCGGGCTGTTGCCCAGGGCTCGGCCTGGCCGGGAGAGGGCTGGATTCAACATAACGCCTTTATTTAAAAATATATAAATATGGAAAAATAATTTAACAGACTAGATCAAATGCCCTGGCACCTCACACGTTCAAGGCCCGTTTATGTCGAGAGAAGACGGGGCCGACGAGACCTGGGATCTGAGGCCTGCGGGGCGCCCGGGACTGGGACTGGGGGACCCTCGCGGCCTGGGGGGAGGGGCTGTGCCAGCCACAGGTGGACAAGGGAGGGGGCAGACTGCTCTGGGCCTGTGGTCAGCACAGGGTCAGTCTGACTTCGGCAGGGGCCCCCGGAGGGAGTGACTGGAGGTGGCCTGGCCAGCGGGGGGCAGGGCTGGGCTGCCTGGACCCATCTCGAAGAGTCGGGGCAGCGCTGGCAGTGTCTCCTGCACCCCAAAGGGGCGCGCCCTCGAGCTGCCCCTTCCGGGTCCAGCCGAGCGGCGAGAGCCCCCGTGGGGAGGGCGGCGCTGGGCCCGCTCAGCACAGGGCGCAGACGGCGCTGTTGCCCTGGCCCTTGGGCGCCGGCCGCGCCTCCCTGGACACCCGCCGCCTGATGCCCAGCAGGTACAGCTCCCGGTCGAACTTGCCGGCAGCCAGCGGGATGCTGCAGAGGAGAGCGTGGGAGGGAGGCGGCGGCCCGCGCCCCCCCACAGCCCCCGGGGGTCCCGGGCGCGGCCGGGTGGATACTGACTTGTCTCTCCCCGGCCTCACTTTGACGCGGAACAGGCCGTACACGGGGCGGTGGTCGGAGGTCCTGACGCCGGGGCAGGAGGAGTACCCGACCGCGCAGATGTCGTCTCCGTGGCGGCTCCTGTACAGGACCCGGTCCTGCGGGGGCCAGGGCCAGAGGGCCATGCGGCGTCGCCCGC